TTTTTATCGTTTGAGTCACTTATCAAAAGTTGCTAAAAGCTGCCAAATAAATTTTTAAAAATAGCTAAATTTGTTGCTAGGTGCTTTTGGAAGAAAAAGTTGCTAGGGTAGTCTGAAAAGTTGCTAAATTTAGCAACAAAATTGCTAAGTTGGCAACACTGCAAGTGCATAGTTCACCAGGGCTGCGTTCAGTCCCGACAAAACGGTGCAAAACGTGTTTTAAACGGAAACGGTGGTGCGTTGAACACTGTTCTGATGACGCAAGAGTTGCAGCTATGGCAGCTGAGAAGGCCATTCTTTGTGTTCTTTTTGAAGAATTTTCGGAGCCTGATGAAATCGGTATAAATCTGAGGTGAGCTAATCATAGGCTGAAGACCCAGGTAAACAATTAATTAATTAATTATAGCATTATAGTTTTGTATTGTTTGTAGTGTGATCAACGTTTGCGTAAGTAGTAGACGTGAACGAAATGACTCGGAAAAAAGATTCGTTCATTTTGCTGAACGAGACTCAAAGATCCGAGTCGGTAAAATGATCCGAACTTCCCAGTGTTCGGTGACGTCATCGCTTGTTTTTCTCCTGTTAGCTCATACAATGCAAATATTTAATTTTGTATGTGAAGCTTTACAAGGTGTGATGTTTGCTGTTTTTCCTGTCTTTTATGTATCTGTTTATTGTTTGATGCATATAAAAGCCATATAATGCAAATAACAGTTAAAATAAATCATTATAAAGTCTGAAAATCTACAAATGTAATCTATAACTAATACCGAATGTCTTTCGGTAACTAAATTAAATTATAAAATGAACGGTATGATTTTTTTTAGCATGTTTTATAATAATTCCAATATTTATTTTTAAATAAATGTAAGGTACTTATTTTTTATTCATGAAAATCTCTCCCAAATAATCAGTTCTGCATTACAAGTTTAATTTAAATATATTCAGTAATTTAGTTTGTTTTGTTTTGTAATTGTATTGTTACTGAAATAGACAAAATAGCGGTTTATATAAATAATTGTGATAATAATTTTAGAGAAATATAAATAATATAATGTATATATTATATAAAACTATATATATATATATAGTATAATATATTACTATAAAATATAGAAATAATAACTATTTGTCTACTTAATTAATCATCATATAAGCCTACACATCATTATGAACATTTATGAAGTGATTTAAGTACAAATAAAATATATGATATGTATCGTAGCCAAAATAAAATATTTCTGTACAGTCTGATAAAAGCTGCTCTTCTGACTCAGAACTCATATTTAATCAGGTCAAGGTTTATGAAGTTTAAAACTATATTTGTTAATTTTAAACGGCACTTTCGGTTGTTTTTATCCACAAACTACCAGCTACATATTTGAGCGAATAAACTATAAAACCACCCTAAGTATTTATTTAATCAACCATCTAATTAAAATGAATGAACATTTCGCTGATAAATTACTGTTATAGCGATGAGCGTGTCGAATCGGCGCTAGTGAACGCACAGATGAGTGACGCACGCGGCTCCGGCAGGCAGCGCTAGCGTGAAGGCGTGAGATAAATAACTCACAAAACCGCTGGAAATCACCGTCGAATCAGCGACAACGCGCCCGGACGCGACGGTAAGACGCTCGCTCGTGTTTGTGTGGGAAGCTGTAGATGAGAGTGTGTTGTGTCAGTCAGCTGATGAAGGTGTTTGATCGGTGTGTTACAGAGCCTCAGTCATGAAGACGAACACCTTCTCGCGGGATTTAGGATAGAGAGACAGAAGAACACACACACACTGATCATGGGCTCGTCTCTCAGTGAACCCTGCATCTATGATAAGCTGTCGGAGAGCATCGACATCCTGCGGCAGTCCGGTTACCGCTACGGGATGAGCGAGAGAGAGATCGAGAAGTTCATCAAGCAGGTGCTGGAGACTAACGAGCCCCGCAGGGACCCGCCGCAGTTCCCCATCCTGAGAGCCACCGTCAAGGTGCGTGGAGCCAGATCAACACGCACTGCAAAAACACATCGGCAAGATATTCTAGTGAAGAGAGAGAGCAGATCGCTAGAACTCAAGTCAAAAACTCAACAACAAAAAATATATATATAAATTATTTAAAATATACTTGCATGTAATTGAAATTATTTTAAATATTTTTGTAACATAAAATATATTTTATTATATTTTTAGGTATAATATAAAACAATATTTGTAAAATATTGTACATATATATGTTTTATATATTGGCATGTGTATCGCGTGTCACAGATGCGTGTTTATGTGACGTGTGTGTGTGAGATGTGTGTGTGTGTGTGTGTGTGCAGCTGGTGCTGGTGCTGGGGGTTCTGCTGATGGCGGTGCTGGTGTTCACGTATCCTCACAGTGCGCCGCTGCTGGACTCCTCGAGCGCAGCCGGACACAACAGCTCATCTCCTCTCAGTCACGCACGACTGCTGGAGCTGCCCATCGCCAACAAATACAACCTGCACGGTGAGACGCATCAGACACCATCAGACACATAAGACACCGTCAGACGCCATCAGACGCCATTACATATAATTTTTATACATTGTTATATATTTTATATACAGCTTTTTATAATATATATTATATTGTATTGAATTATTTGGTTATGTTTTTAGCATTATTCGTTGAGTTTGGATCTGACACAACAGGTTGTTGCCATTTTTGTTCATATTAAAGCAAACATGTTTTTGTCAATACTGATGGTAGAACAGAAAATAATCTTTATAAAAATAATTATAATATATTACATATTTAAATTATTTAGTATACTTCTTTATATTATAAACATATAATAAAAAATTATGTTTATATATGGCCACATAAGTAAACTACATTAATTATTTTGAAAATTTCACAAAATGATTGAAATGAATTAGGTCATAGTCTGAAATATTACTGCTGTCAATCACATGCATTGTTTTATTACTGAGATTTTATTAATGTGTGATTTATAGTATTTATATATATATATTTAAAAATGATCCATAATATTATATATAAGTTAGAATTCTTTTTTCTTAAAAGTCATATATATAAACACATGCATTGTATTATTACTGAAATTATATGTATAAATATAATTCATATATATGTATCATTTTATATTTAAATTTTTATAATCTAAGTAATAATAATTTTGCATGCACAATAACATGTATTGTATTATTCCTGAAATTTGATCATCATATGATTATTATACTATCAAAATAAATTTTGAATATGTAGCATGTTAAAAATCTATCAGCATAATCATTGTATCATTTTATATTAACATTTTTAATAGATTGTCATTTTTATATTTACATTTAAAAAAAAATTAATTCTATATTTAAATAAATTAGTATAATATATAAAAATTATTTTATATATATATTAATTTTAAATTTATTATAATAATAAATTAATATATATTAAACACATAATAATTATATGTATATAGTGTAGTATTTGGCTGTGCAGCATGTGTCACAGGTGTGTCTCTGTGTGTGTGTGTGTCTGTCTGTCTGTGTCTCTGTGAGTGTGTGTCTCTGTCTCTGTGTCTGTCTGTGTCTCTGTGTGAGTGTGTGTCTGTGTCTCTGTGTGAGTGTGTGTCTGTGTCTCTGTGTGAGTGTGTGTCGTGTGTGTGTGTGTCTGTCTGTCTGTGTCTCTGTGAGTGTGTGTCTCTGTCTCTGTGTCTGTCTGTGTCTCTGTGTGAGTGTGTGTCTGTGTCTCTGTGTGAGTGTGTGTCTGTGTCTCTGTGAGTGTGTGTCTGTGTCTGTCTGTGTCTCTGTGTGTCTGTGTCTCTGTGTGTCTGTCTGTCTCTGTGTGTCTGTCTGTGTCTCTGTGTGTCTGTGTCTCTCTGTGTCTGTCTGTGTCTCTGTGTGTCTCTGTGTGAGTGTGTGTGTCTGTGTCTCTCTGTGTCTGTCTGTGTGAGTGTGTCTCTGTGTCTGTCTGTGTCTGTGTGTGTGTGTGTCTGTGTCTATCCTCACAGTGTGCCACTGCTGGACTCCTCGAGCGCGGCGGGACACAACAGCTCTTCTCCTCTCAGTCACGCGCGGCTGCTAGCGCTGCCCATCACCCAGAAATACAAGCTGCACGGTGAGACACCATCAGACGCTCCGCGCTCTGCACTCGCTCTCAGCTCATGTCCATCTCAACACGTGTGTGTGTGTTTGTGTGCAGGTTTTCACGAGTGGTGGGTGTCTGGCGCGCTGCAGATGCCGCAGGGGAACTGCTCGGCCTGCGCAGACGTGACAGCGGTGCTAGAGCTGAGAGCGTCTGCGGGGATCGAAAAACACACACAGCCACTGCTGCTCAAGGTACAGACACGCACACACACTCACACACAGTGTGTCATGATGGAGGTTAACCTGTGTGTGTGTGTGTGTGTGTGTTTCAGGGCGGAGAGTCTCTGTCTCGCCGTGTGTCTCATCTGGAGCAGTTTTCACAGCCGGACACACTCACAGCAACACCTGCCAACTTCACCCTGCTCTGGTAACCAGCAGCATTCGGGTTATTATATGATCATTAGCATCTGTATGTTGTGTGTGTTTGATGCTCGTGTGTGTGTCAGGAGTTTCTCGTCCAGTCCCAGAGAGACGGTTCTCCACTGGTTGTTTCCTGACGCTGAGCTCTGCCCTCTGCTGGAGAACACGGGAACAACACTGCAGCGCTGCCAGCTGACTGACAGCACCAGCACACAACACACGGTCAGAACACACACAGAATCACTCTCTCACACACACACACACACACACTCTCACTCACACACACACACTCTCACTCACTCACTCACTCACATGACATATAAAACTCTGGCCATGATTCCATACGTTCATAACTGGTGTTTGATGTGATGTCACTCAGCTGATGGGGTCAGAGGTCGAGGTCGATGAAAACATCGTGGAGCGGAGCAGACCAGCATACAGGTGTGATAGATGGATAGATAATTTATGCTTTGTTTAAACAGATAGATAGATAAATCGTATTTTGCAGGATATTTCCATTAAAAATATATTTTGTCCTTATGATAATGGAATTATGTTTGTTTTGTATTGTGTTTGTGAAAAAACAGCGCAGAATTATATGACATGCAGCTGTCACAAGAATTAACACATCCAAATTGATTTTGGTCCTCATATTTCATTTTGGCGTTTAAATCTGAGTAATATTACACATATGTGTCGCTACATGGAGTTCTAGAAAACCTTTAATAACCCTAAATACATTTCTGATGCTTATTTTCCGCTGAGGTAAAGAAAAAAAAAAGTCGTTAGAAGACGCGCGCTATTTTTGATTTGAATCTCCCGCTTCGCCTGAATCAGAGACAACAGGACTGACGTTATTTAGCCATGGAACGATTAATTTTATTACTCACCTAAGCCCATTTTATTCGCATTCGACGCTTGTTAATTTCAAACCCTGCAGTACTGCAATGTGCCCAGCAGAGGCCAGCAGCTTTCCTCTCTATGTGATCGGAGCAAAAACTAGAGTTTGTTCATCAGATTAACACACACACTCACATATATTCATCCCGTGTTGTTGTTGTTGTAGGGAGTGCAGGTGTGGGGTTGGCTGGTGGTGTCTGAAGGTTCTCCGTGGGTCCGTGTTCTTCCCGTGCAGCGATGCCAAACCCTCTGCCGCTCCTTCAGTCTGTGGCTGGAGCCGGGAGACGCAGGTAAGACGCCACGCTCAGTCGCGTGAGCTCCAGACGCAGGAGCGTCCCCTCATGCCGTGTGCTTCTTCTGTGTGCGCAGTGTTCGCAGACCCGCGCTTCTGGCTGCTGGAGCTCTTCCCGTCTGGAGGTCAGAGCGTGCTGTGTGACGGCCCTGTGCTCTGAGAGTCTCAGCAGAGCTTATAACCTCTCACACACACACACAGATGCATCAGCTCTTCTCCTCCTTTCTCTCATTCAGACGTGCTTGTCTTTCTGCTGAGCTTCTGTGATCTTCAGGTCCGGTGATGTTTTCTGATCTTCACGCTCAGGAACACGTTCGCTCATATTTCACCGCAAAAGTTAAAAGAAACTCTATTTTGTTTAAAGAAAGTCAAACCTATTTTAGGATATTTTATTACATTTTGACATTGATTTCATGACCATTAAGCACATTTCATCCCAAAATTACTGGGATGCAAAATAATAATAATAATAATCAATCTCGTTACAGTATGCAAAAATGTCTCATTACTTAATCCAGCTAATTAATGTTAATATATAAATGGTTCATTATTTTTACATCATGGTAGTACCGTATTGGCCCGAATATAAGACGACCGCGTTTTTTCAGATGTATTTCCAAGAAAAAAACATCGTCTTATATTCGGGACAATACGGTAATTGTTGTTCTCAGTTTGATTTTAATAAGAATATTATTTCTGTAATACAATTCTGAGAACAGGATTTTTTCTGTATTATGGGGAAAAAAAATGTGTACTGGTAATGAAAATACGTGTAAATAAAATAATATATATATTGATTATGGTAATGAGAATGAGAAAAATATTTTTTTTTAGTTCAGAATATTTTCCTGTATTATGTTAAATCATAATATTATGATACCAAATATTTTTCAAAATTTTTGTTGTATGACAGTAATGAGAATTAGTATATTTCATTATGAGAATGAGAATTTTTTTTCTGTATTATGGTAATGAGAACTAGAATTTTTTTGTTCAAAATATTCGTCCATATTACGGTAAATCTTTTTTTTTTTTGTATGACGTTAATGATAATTAGTATATATTTTTCATTATGGTAATGAGCGGGAATTTTTATTTTTTTTGTATTACGGTAATGAGAACAAGATTTTTATTTTTTGTTCAAAATCATTTTCCAGACTGTAAATACATCCGATTCATTTTTTGTTTATTACGTTGATGACACTTTTTTTTTTTTTTTGTATAATGCTAATAAGGAGAATCTTTTTTGCATTACAGTAATTTGAATGCGTGGGAAATGTTTTATTGTCATGAATCTAATTTCAGTTCTGAAATGTGAGCCGCACGTGTTCAGCCAATCAGAGCACTTTATATGTTTGGTCGTCAGCGGATGATGTCATATCCTGACCGAGCGTTACGCCGCGGAACTCTCCACCAATCAGAGATGGCCGGCGGTGATGACATCATCACCCAGCGCACCGCCGTCAGATCGCGCCGATGTTTTTTTGTCCTCCGGAGTTTAATCGCTGTAAATAATGAGAGTACGCTGCAGATGATACTAACATGATTCAGAGATTTATGGTGACTGTGAGTTTACTGCAGGATTTCTACAGTAAATAAACGCTGCTGTTCGTAACCTGTGTGATTTATGCCATTCGTCACATTTGGAGGGAAAACAGATGGTGTTCAAACATGACAAAATAAAGCGGTTTATAATGAAGTGTGCATTAGAGATGAGAAAAACCCGTACATTCAGTCTCAGTTTTTACTTTTTTCTTCTTTACTTCCAAAGAAATATAAATTAGATATAGAATTATAAATAAATAAATGATTTTTTTTTTATTGGTGTATAATATTTGAAGAGTAATGGAAAATAAAAGACACGCGAGGTATAATAATGCTAAATTAAATATCATTAATATATATCAATAATTTATTAATATTGATAATAAGTTAATATCAATATTTGTCAGAAATAACTGAAACAACAGTATTAGCATGAAAAAAAAAATTTTTTTTTTTTGATATAACAAATTTTTTTATTTTATTTTTATTATTATAATTGCTTCAACTTAACAACCAAACAAGGTACGTCATCACATTCCAGAATATAATCAATCATGTTCAGCCTTGGTCGAGCAAAACCAAAAAACTAAATTAAAGTCAAAATAAAACAAGCGAACCAGAAAAGAAATAGAGCAATAAAGCTAGGGTTTTTGCTGCTTCACAAAGCCAGAACCTCTGAATTCAAAGGCTTCGAGAACATATAACATTCTAGAGTCTGTTGTAAGGAACCTTTCATTTTTTATGATGACAAAGTGTTATATTTTGTTAACTTTTGTAATGCTCTTGTAAAGCGTTTGTGATGTCTGTATGTCCTTTTCTTTTTTTTTCTTAATGTCAGTTATTGTTGTGTTATTTTATTTCCAATAAAGAAAGAAAAATAAATTAAAAAATGCAGTCTGTACCGGAAATAGTGATGTTCGGTTCTTGAACGAATCGTAACCGGTCGAGCCGGTTCACAAATCAAACTGAATCGAACTTTAGTTCCGGGTTGATGACGCAGGACGCACAGCCGAAGTAGCACGTCCGACTCGAAAAGAACCGAATGAGCCGGTTCAACCAACTGTCGAAGTTTGCAGAGGATTACCGAAGACTCAACAAGAACCGAATGAGCCGTGGCGAAGTTTGCCGAGGATTCCCGAAGATTCTGATCAGTGAGTTGACGATACTGAGGCGCGTACTGGAAATATGCTTATTATGACTGTTATTAATTTACATTTTATTAAAACCTGCGAAAACCTTTCTGTCGAGTGATGTAAATCAATTTTACTATAGTTTATTGTGCATGCATATTATATTTAAAG